TTACACTGAAGATGGTCGCGGTGCAGGCAGGAAAACTTGCTTGAGTTGCAGTTACAGATAGAAAAGAAGAGAGGCGGACTAGAGTTCCTTCCTGTGAACATTCTTCTAGCCCATCCGGTTGGAGGCTCTAAACCGCGAGCCCGTTGCACCAACCGAAGAAAGTACTCGAAGAAAAGAGCTCTGAATAGACTCACACGAAGTTTGCTAGGCTCCGTGAAACTTGTGTGCGCAGGGAAGAGGGATACGTTGAGGATTGTGAACGGCGACGGGGAGAGGCTAGAGGCTGAAAAAGCCAATCCCTAGCCGCCACGTGGTAATAATTTAGAACTAGCCAATGGTGGGGCACAAATTTGAATACGAATGGCGGGAGCTCCTTGCAATGTGCATTTCTGTGCTGCAACAAAGAAATGCACCCTGCAAAGAAAGCTACTGGTGGCAGGAATTCTTTTGCACCGGGGTTTTCCTCTGCAGCAGAAAACCACCGTGCAAAGAAGCTGCAATTTAGCGGGAACAATTTAGCAGTGCCGAAGCACTCACAAAACAAAAACCACACCCTTGGGTTGTGACACTTGGGTTAACTCAGTCTAAAATATGTTCACAGCACAGTTTCATGGCTGGACAAGCCCAGCCACTTGCCCCAGTACAGGGGCTGTGCTGTTACTACCCCCCAAGCCCAACCCTATTTTTAGCCTCCCATTTCCAAGCCCCTCCTGGACCCACCAACCTCCCCTGATGTGCTAGCCTCCTCACCCCCACAACAGACTGAATTAGGTAAACTGCCTAAACCAAAAAGAGTCGTGCAAATGCTTGTTTGCACCCACAGTCTTTTTAAATACAATGAACTTGCTGTCAGTGGAGTGAGGGCAATTTACACTATCTAAAGATCTGGCCCTAAGAGTGTATCCAATAAGTAATTGAAATGACTAGACCATAGGTAAAAAAATTTAAGCATGTAAATGATTTAGCAGTCTAGGTTCTGCTTTCAAAAGAGACTTAGCTACTTAGGAAGCAAAGTCTCATTGAACCCAATGTAACTTAGGCTCCAAAGTACCTCTTTCACTCTTGAAAATGAAACTCAGAGCCAGTTTTATAAAAGTGTTTATTTAAGTGCTAATGTTCCACCAGAATCTTTTAAAAATGTGTTTTTTAAGTTCTCTAAAGGAGTTAGTAAAAAGAGATTCTAATTTTTTTTTTTAAATAAAATGAGACTGTGCTGTCTTTTTAGGGCCAAAGTCTTTGCACTGTCCTATTTTTCTTCCTCAGATTTGGAGCCAATGGAATGCTGCTCAACCACATGAATTCTACCTGCTGAGTTTCTTGTGTCTATGTTTGCCCTTGATAGGAAGCTAAAGCTAAATTGAGGAAATCAGGCAAGCAAATGGGAGAGTGTTCCCATTCAAAGATCATTCTGGTCCCTGTATCACTGCATTGGAGATGTAGTTGTCTGATGGGTGATATGACAAGAGGGAAAGGAAGTGTAAGGAGAGCTCAGTATAACTTTATGCCAGGAGAGCAAAGAAAGAATGAAGATTTAGGCAGTAATTTCTCAGCGACTCTTTGAGAATAAGTAAGATGTAAACCTATGGAAATAAATACAATGTACTGTTGGCTTCAGTGGTTTTTGGATGAGGGTCCTGTGGAATCCAAGAAGCAGAGACAGAACAAGATCATCCTCATCTGACTGACCTTCTGTAACATTTCCATTGCACAGCAACTGTCAGTGCCCTGGTACGTATGGATGCATATGAACACTGGTTCACAATTTTTTCTAAACAAATGGGTAGCAGACAGAATGACAGGACAAATTACAGCAGCATCTTAACTCTAATTGGAAGGTCCCTCTTTATATAATAACACATCACATATACCAAGGCTAGGTACAGATGTTCAGGGAGGTTAGATCACATTAAAAATGGCCACCCAATTTAACTTAGTTCACCCAGGTGTGGACATTACTCTTAGATTAACCTAACTAGAGGTCTTAGTGTGAACAGATCAGAAAGTTTAGATGAGTCTAAAGTTGGCCAACCTGAACTAAGTTAAGTGTACCTCAGAGGTAGTCTAACTTAGATCAGGTCCAGTGAGTCTGATCTAATTGAACTTCTCTACAGTTCCCAGAGCAGACCCAGGGCTAAGAAAGTCCAGCTACTGGTCCCAGCTTTGGGGCTGC